GGGGGGGCGGGGGGGAGGCCGGAGGAGGGGGGGAGTCGGGGGGGAGACCGAACAAGGGGGGGTCGGGTGGATGAGATTGAGAGAAATGGGAGGGGGTGGCGGCTGGTAGGGGCTAAAAAACTGCCCTAGGCAACCTAGACGGAAATTCCGTCTAGGTTGAGGCAACCTAGACGGAATTTCCATCTAGGTTGACTATACAACCTAGACGGACTGCCGTCTAGGTTGTGTAGTCAACCTAGACAGAAATGCCGTCTAGGTTGAGGCAACCTAGACGGAAATTCCGTCTTGGTTGCCTGTTCCGTCTGGGTTTGTCAAACTAGACGGAAAATTCCGTCTAGTTTGCTCCAAACTAGACGGAACAATCTAGACGGAATTATTCCGTCTACTTTGATCCAATCTAGACGGAAAAAATTTCCGTCTAGATTGTTCCGTCTAGTTTGATCGTTTTTCTACTAGTGTTACAACATGGTATCTGCACATATAACCCCATGACTTATTTAAATACCCATTAATCCAAATTAATTGATTACTTTAGTGTGTTATCTTGAAAGATAGCAATACACATTGATTAATCATATGTGCCCACAAATAGATTTATTAGATTAAATCCAACAATCTCCCACTTGGGCACCATATGATTCCTTAAATTGTGTATAACCTTATGAGCTCAAAAACTGCTCTCACTGAAAAAGGTATTTTCGAACAATCTCGTCCATTGACTATATCAATATAGGATTAAAGCGGCATTCGTCGCATTTATCGTAACTAAACCCATCAATGGTCACATATACCAATACAATCAAACGATATAGATCAAACATTGATGTGCAGCATGAAAATTACATGCAATGTGATCAGTACATGTCTATTTTTAACTGGTCCTCCTTTAGTGAGGTCAAAACCAAACATAATGTAACATGGTATCTTAACTGAATACTTTATTCTGATCAGACAATACAACCAAACATAAAGCATCACAATTACAAACCCCTACTAAATCATGATATCTTCAATTAATACCACACTCATATGAGCAGTATGCTCATGAAAGACCTTGGGTGGCAATCCCTTAGTAAGAGGATCTGCTATCATGGAGTTTGTCCCAATGTGCTCTATAGATATCTGTCCACTCTGTACCCTTTCTTTCACAATCTGGAACTTACTGTCAATATGTTTTAACTTAGTTGAGTTCCTGTTGTTATTGGAATACATTACTACAGATTTATTGTCACAATATAACTTTAGTGGTCTTTCAACATTTTCTAAAATACGCAGTCCCATGATAAAATTTCACAGCCATATTCCCTGATTGGATGCCTCATAGCAAGCTACAAATTCTGTTTCCATAGTAGAGAAAGCTACGAGTGTATGTTTAACACTTTTTCATGATATAGCTCCTCCTGCTAACATATAAATGTAGCCTGATGTAGACTTTCTGCTATCTTGGCATCTAGCAAAATCAGAGTCCGAATACCCAATGACCTCTAACTGTTCTGATTTTCTGTATGTGAGCATGTAATCTTTTGTTTTCTGAAGATACCTCATAACCCTTTTGACTGCTATCCAATGATCCATACCAGGGTTACTTAAGTATCTGCCTAACATGCCAATAATATACGCAATATTCGGACGCGTACATACCTGAGCATACATTAGACTTCCTACAGCCGAAGCATAAGGAATCTTCTGCATTTCCTGAATTTTAAGGTTACCTTTAGGGTACTGATTGAGACTAAATTTGTCTCCTTTAGCCACATGGGTATCTCCTGGTCTGCAATCTTGCATGTCAAATCTTTTAAGTACTTTATCGATATAGCTCTTTTGTGATAATCCAAGAATACCCCGAGAGCGATCTCAATGTATTTGGATTCCTAATATAAAAGAGGCGTCCCCAAGATCTTTTATCTCAAAATTCTTTGATAGAAATCTCTTGGTT